AGAGCACTGCTTTACTCGATTACACCACAGCAATATAAATAACCACATTCTGATGTATAATAACCGTGCATATGAAGAATTCAATAAAATGTTTTCCTTCTGTCTCAAATCAGTGGTATTTTTAGGTTACATTTCCAGCAGTGGCCGAAGGCACTGAAATCTCTTCTCTTAATTACTGTGAAGTTCACCTACAAACGTTCCATTTTAAATCTGTTGGCACGTCCTATCTTTCCTAGCTCTTGGAGTCGTTGTGAAATTACTTCTGAAGGTATCGGAAATGGACTTCATGTTCTTCCGTTCCTTTCAATGTTATTCTTATATGAAATATTACAGCATAAGGCATTTTTATTCTTTTTGCTATTTCAGAATTATCCTACCTCTGACTTCTTGTCTGGTGACAAGAAGTATTTTTCTTTGCTCGTTTGGGAAAGTGAGTAAATAAAAACGTAAGGTTACATTCTTTCCCAATTTATTTTTTTTACTAATACAAGAAAATAAAAATGCTTTAAAAAAACCCAGTTCAACACAGTATTTGATGACCTAGAATATACAAGGTTCTTTGTGAAGAACTTCCTTTTTCTTTTTTTGCTTTTGTTTTTTAACCCTGTTTGATTCTTACAGACAGGCATTAAAATCCCTTATTTCCAGATTCTTTTTCCCGTTACATCTCCACCCACAGACATTTCATTTATGGGGCGGGAGACATAGGTATGTCCAGGGGATGTGCTCTAGGCCACCCCAAACCGTGAAGGTGCCGTGAGCCGCGACATGTCTGAGAGTCCTGGTGCCCACGCAAGGAGGGCTTCCTGTGGTTATTTCAGAATGAAAACCGGCTTAGCAGATTACATACTTGTTCCCACTGCAAAAACATACCCCCCACCCTGACCTGTACATGACTACCCAGTGTTAAGCTTAACAGCTCACGTAAAGGGGGAGGGTGGAAGAGTGGAATTTATATGAGAAAGGAGAAATGCCCCATAAATATTCTCAGGGAAGGTTCTGAACTTCAGAAACAGGAAACAAAAGCTGGGGCAGAGCTTGTGTACACAGGACCATTTCTCCCGCTGCCTCCCAGCTATGGCTGAATTGTTCTTTTGCATAGAATGGTGGTTGCCAGGAGCCAGGGGGCATGGGAAATGGGGAGACGTTGGTCAAAGGGTACACACTTTCAGCAATAAGATGAACAAGTTCTGTGGGTCTAACGCATAGCATGAGTGGTGATGGATGTGCTAGTTAATTGGATCACGATAGTCGTTACGCAATGTGTACATATATCAGATCATCACACTGTATGCCCTGAATGCCTACAATCTTTATTTTCAATTAAATGTTTTAAAATAAAAATAAAACACCCACCTTCATTCTGTCCTTTGATTAGATACGGGCCAGCCCCTGTCTTTGTCTTAGGTGGTGCAGGAGACTGGTATGTGTCAAGGGAATGCACAGAGGAACAGTTTGGCTTTCCTCCTCTTCTGGGGAGAGGATGCTTCCTAGTGACATCTGAATGAGCCAGGGTGAAACTCTAGCCCACTGTGTGAAACCAGAGGCCACTGCCTCTGCACTCAGTGAGGATGATGGATGCTTAATGAATGCAGGTCTTTCTGGCTACTCTTGATGAAAGTGATGCTCTGAGTGCGAGGAGATGAATATTGAGAAAACTGATCCCTAAAAAGCTTACAAACTAGGAGAGACTACTACAGACCCAAGGGTAAGCCTCCAGTTCCAGCTCAAGTTTCCAAGTGAAACGCCATGTCAAGTGAATGAAAAATGGGTTTCTCAGACCCAGCAGAGCTTAGGTGGCCCATGTCTAAATCCCCTTTCCAATGGCACGGTGCTATTCACAACTGTAATTTTCTCATCCCTGCTGTATTTTATACCATGGCTGCATTTGTCGCAATTGATCTCCATAGAGCGAATTACACATACTTTTTATAGGTAAAAAATTAGAGACTATTACGAATAACTCCAAATCATTGGCCCTCATGTTTATGGATGTACATAACAGGAAATCTAATAGCTTTTAAAATGCTTTTAACTAATTAAATAGAATGGCTTCTTTGAAATGCCATTTATTAGTAAGGCAAAATTTGTTTTTGTAGCATTTTAAAGAACTATTTTATTTTATAATGCTCATGGATTTGCCAGAAGATTTAAAAATGGAGAATTTTTTTTGTCCTCCATAATGAGAGGGTTTTGGATATCATGGTAAAGAGAGAGGTGGGAAATAATTATTAATTTGATTGTATAAGTTATTTCACTCTATCAATAAGAGTGCTAAATTATGATGTATAGTAAGAACACCTTTTAATCATCAAAATCATACTACCATTCAGCAATCAGCAAAATGGAGTTGTCATATTCAATTTTCCTGCTAACACATTAGATCACTGTCGGTAATTGCTAAGTGACTGTGGATTCCACCAATGGAGGTCATTGGTGGGGCTGGCTTCCCCTAGTGTCACTCAGAGTCAGCCCCAAGGAGCCCAAAGGAAGCAGCTTCTAGGTACCAGACTACAGATACACCCTGAATTGGTGCGGGATGCAGAGGTCATCCCCTGAGAATGCGGATGGGCACCCACCTGCCAGACCAGGTTCTCCTTGGCCCCTGGAGTTGAAGACAGGCAGGCACTCAGCACAATGGTGTGGGAAGAGGAGGTGAGGACGCTGGCGATGATGGCATCTCGCATGTTGAAGGGCAGCATGGTGTACACCACGAAGATAATGAAGAGGAAGAATGATACCTACAGGGGGAAGAAAAGGATTGAAAGTCACAAAGTGTTCTGGTTCCTATGTGCTTACTCTTTCCTTTCTATTAAAGGCTGCGTAAAACAACATGAGAAACATGAGACATGCTCATTTACGAAATAATATCATTACAGAATACAACAGCATATTCACACAAATCCACTGGATTACAAGAAAGAACTAATGAGTGTGATGGAGAAAAAGAATTTGTTTTCAAAATTTGGGGACTTTCAGTTTTGGCATCCAAACCATTGCAGACATTAGGTTAACCTGAGTAGTTCCTGGGGTACGGATGCAAATCTGGTCCTGAGGTAGCAGGGTTTTGTGTCTGTGCTTTAGAATGCACACCGTGGATTCTTTAAGTTATCTATCAAACTGTGCAGGGATACCCAGGGAGGGTGGACAGGTGCTGTCTCAGAGTTAGTGAGAGTGGATGCAGAGAGCATGGGCATGTGAGAAATAAAATAAAACGGCTTACACATGGTTCAGCTGTTGTGGAACACAGTTGGCAGTTTGGCAGTTGCTCAGGAAGTTAAATATAGAATAACCCTATGACCCAGCAATTCCACTGCTAGGTATATACCCTAAAGAACTGAAAACAGGTACTCAAACAAATACATGTACACACATGTTCATAACAGCACTTTCTTAACAGCCAAAAGGTGGAAACGTAAGTTTCCATCACAGAATGATGAATGAAGAGCATGTGGTATATCCATACAATGGAATATTAACCAGCCTTAAAATGGAATAAGGTACTGATACATGCTATAATGTGGATGAACCTCAAAAACATCATGCTAGTGAACAAAATTTGGGCAAAAACTCACATTGCATGATACTATTTATATAAAATATCCAGAATAAGTAATTCCACATAGACAGAAAACACATTGGAGGTTGCCAGGGGGATGGGGAGAGGAGTGGGGCAGGGAATAGGCAGCAATTGCTTAGTAGGTACAGAGTTTCCTTTGGGATGATGAAAAATGCTCTGGAACTAGGTAGGGGTGTTGGTTGCACAATATTGAGAATGTACTGAATTCTTCACTTTAAAATGACTAATTTGCCATACGTGAATTTCACCTCAAGAAAAACAATCAGTATGAAACTGCTTAAAGATTTGGAATGGAAAAGAAAATGGGTTAGTAGGTAATAAAACAGATCCTTTTCAATCAACAAGGATGGAAAGGCGATAAATTGGGGGGAAAGGGGCCGAGGTTAGGGGAAGCAGGGGACGTGGTGTGTGGCCAGCTTCCCCACGCAGCTCTTGGAAGGGAAGCCAGGGAAAGAGCCGGCCCCATCCTCACCGCGTGTCCTCTGCCACCTGAAGGGGGCTCTGTAGCCCAGCACAGCTGGAAGGATGCGGATGCGGGGAGAGCATGCCAGCTGTTCGGTACCAAGTCGGGATGTGAGTTCGTTAGAAGAACATGAGCAATGGGCTCTGCTCCCAATGGGTTTAAAGAGGGAAGGGAGCCCGGGAGGACACCAGGCTCTTCTCCTTGGGTGTTCACAGGAATCTGCACCGCATATTACAACCTGAAAGGAACCGTCTGTCACCATCTCACTATTCAAGCGTGGTGTCTTATAAGCTGTATTTGTGTAACTGTCACAGACAAAAGAGCACATGAGAGATTAGAGAGACAGCCTAAAAATAAACCTGGATCCTGAAAAGGCATGCTTCCGTTTCCTTCACGGGGCTGCAACCTGCACGTCCATTCACTCATTCAGCAAACCTGCATGAGGCTCCTCCCAGGAGGCAGCTGGGTTCTGGAGGTGGAGTGTGCAGGAGGGAAGCCCTGCTCGCAGGGACCTCGCAGCCCAGCGGAGGGGACACGCATGCATGCAGCCGTCACTTCACAGTCTGCGTGTCCTGAGAGAAGGGGCACCTCCCACTGCGAGGAGACGAGGGGGTGGACAGACTCTGTTCCACCTTCTCCCATTCTCGCAAGTTCAGCCATCTCAGAACAACAGCCAAGGAGAAACCCACCGTGAGTGGGAAAAGTGACCAGGAATCCTCCCCGGGCAGCCCAGATTCGGCACAGACCATCTGCTTCCGGCCCCCGTCTCCTCCCATTCAATCTATATTTATAAGGGCCCTGAGGCCAAAAACTGTGGGTGAACAGATTACCATAGCAATATTTTTTTCCTGGTAAATATTTTTTCTTTCACCTCTTTAAAAATAAGAGACTGAAGATTTTTCAGTAAAGCATTATTATTTCACGTGTTGTGCGTTCCACGTGTTAACGCTCCATACACGGGATGTGAACCCAAGGCAAGAACAATTGTCTTAGTTTATGTATCAAAATGCGAAGTGCACATGGGAAGAACCAGGCGTGTCTGGAAGGGCTGTGAGTAAGTGGGGTCTACACAGGCAGGCTGGGCACCTCCCTCACACCATCTTCCCACAGAGGGAACATACAGGAGTTCTTGGACCCAAAAATCATATTTCAAAGCCACTAATAACTAGCGCCAGCACTTGCTGAGTGCTTGGTGTGCAAATCCCTTCCCAGGTCTTCCGAAAGATCTGGTCAAGAACCACTGAGCTGTCGAAAGTTTTCTTTAGGGATGGGAAACACAATTGTGTAGTCACAGCCTATTGAGAAAATGAATCTACTTTGGAATCCCAAATACTCACCCAATTTACAGGAAATATTTTCAACTAAGATATTGTTATTTCTACACATAGCATTTATGCAAAAACCTCACATCCTATAAGAGATATGAAATCAATATTTTTGGGTGTCAGAATCGACAATTACAAAAGAGAAACTCTCCTTTACAGCTACGTATTTTTCTTCTAATGCAAAAACCTTTAGCATTTCTTTAAAATTATCATAACTTTTGAATAGCTTAATTTTGGGCAGCTTTAAAATTCTAACCCTATTTCCACTAGCATACTTCTGCAAACATTGTGAGATTTGGAATGGAAGCATGTGGAAGGTTTATCCACAATAACCGAATGGTAAATACACCTTCAGTTTTCTGAATACAGTAGCTCCTGTTAAGTATTCATTTTGAAATGGCAAAGTGAATTTTCAGAAGTCAATTAAACAAATTACGTTAGATGAAGTTAGAGGTTTTGCTGGCAGCGTTTCAGGGACCCAGCTTAGTGGTACCTGAGCAGCGTTCGGCAGGTGGCATGGGGAGCAAGGAAGGTCAACGGCAGCTTCCAACCCCATGGGGGGAGGTTCTTTGTTCTTATTAATCCCAGAGGGCTCTAATTTTTTTTGAGCCTGCTTTCCAATGCAACATCAAATAGGGCCATATGTAAAACTAAAATGGATTTGGCATATCTAAAGAATGTGTGGGTAAAAAGCTCCAAAAAATCTCTTGGGTTTCCATGATACCACGGGGACATTTCCGGAGCTGAGAGTCCCCTTAGCTGTACCTCTGTCCACTGGCTGAGAAGAGAGGAGCCCTTCATCCGATTCCTGCAGCCCTGCCCAGAAGCCCGGCGTCAACACAGTGCGTCAACACAGTACTGAAGCAGCAGCACTTAGCCAAAGAAAACGGTGTCAACTGTGCCTCTCCACTCCAGTCCTGCATTTGCCTTTTGTGAGACGTGCATTTCTTCCCATGGACCTTCTATCTGAACCCGAAGCTCCACAAGTTTCAAACCAACTGAGAGCCTGTCCTTTCCTTTCTTCAGCCTGTTCCTCCTGCAGGACAGCGTGCTTCTGCCCATAATGGCTCCAGCTCCAATAACCTACGTGCAAATCCTCGAGATTTGTGAAAATTTTTTCCTCACGTCCGCACACACACACAGTGTCTTCAGGACTCCAGACTCCGGAGATTGCCTCTCTCTGTCTTCTGCTCTCTCGCTTGACTTCACTGAGCTGCCTCATGGCCTATCTGTATGTTAGGAATGTGCTTCTGTGCTCTCTCCCTCTCCCTGCCCACCAGCAAGGAAAACCCATCTGTACCCTCCCTCCTTTGCGCCTGCTCCGCGCTTTGGGTGACCATTATGACGCTTTATCAAACATCTCTAGCTCTCTTCCTTCCGGGCACAGTACAATTGCGCCTGGCCACTTTCTTTTCATTCAGGTGAGGTTTTGACAAATGAAGGGCAAGCTGAAGTGATGTGTATCTTTTCTGGGTGGAAACTTTAAAAGCCAGCGCACAATTTGTCATGTCCTCTTCCCTACCCGGCAATCACGGAAACGGAGATGAAGCTTCTCCCAGCCTGGATCCCCACGTGGGCAGCAGAGTCACTCAACCAACCCCCATGGACCTGTGTTCCTGTGAGCCAGTGATCAACTCTTGCAATGTGAAGCCCCTGAGTTCCTAAGCACAGCTTAGCTGGTCCCTATTGACACCGAGGTCACACACATGCACAGTCTCATGGGGGATTTTGTTGATGTTATGTTTACAAAAATTGGATGCTTTTATATACAATACCCTGCAGTTTGCATTTTTCATCTAACTATATGTTTTTCATTTAACTATACAAAAAATGTATACTATACTTTTTTTTATTTTTATTTTTTGGGAATGCAACAACATGAAGTAGCCCATCTTCTGGCTACTTCTCAGCAAAGATCAGTCTGGTGATCAGGAGGGACGCCTTCCTTGTCTTGGCTCTCTGCCTTGACATTCTCAATGGTGTCACTGGGCTCGACCTCAAGGGTGATGGCCTTGCCAGTCAGGGTCTTCACAAAGATCTGCATCCCACCTTGAGACGAAGTACCAGGTCTATAGATGTGAATGTATGATTTACTTTTCACTAGTTACAAATGCTCCATAGCAATGGGTGTGCCATCATTACTGCAGTGTTTCCTCACCGATGTTCACTCTTGGATCCACAGCAGGTTCTGGTAGCTTCCAGCAACCCTGAGCACCCTCAGGCTTGTAGCTGCATCACCCCAATCTCTGCTTCCATCTCCACATGGCCTCGTCCCTGTGAGTCCGTGTATTCACATGGCATTGTCTTCTCCAGGTACCTCTGTCCAAATTCCCCGCTTGCTATGAAGACACCAGCTATTAGTTTTAGGACCCA